CCGCAGAGGATAGATCACTTTAAAAATTAACCCCCTTATATTTTCTATAATATTCATTCAAAAATTAATTTATTTATTTCATAAATGGGGTAACTAAAGATAAAAATAATTTTTAATATAAATGGCCTCCGCAGAGGATAGATCACTTTAAAAATTAACCCCCTTATATTTTCTATAATATTCATTCAAAAATTAATTTATTTATTTCATAAATGGGGTAACTAAAGATAAAAATAATTTTTAATATAAATGGCCTCCGCAGAGGATAGATCACTTTAAAATTAACCCCCTTATATTTTCTAAAATCTTCATTCAACTATTAATTTATTATCAAAATGGGGGTCCTAGGATTTTGAGCGCATAAATAAAATATTCATTCATAAAATAATCTGATAATAAAATTGGACCGCGGATTTTGAGGCCAAAAATAAATTTAAATTCCATCTTTTTTAAAAATTCCCCAACCTATTCCCAACTCTAAATTTTTCGGCAAAAGGTGAGGAACCATCCGGTGCTACCAGTAAAGCGGTTGGTCCCGTACCCCAGTGCCTCGTTAGTTAGTTGATGTTATAAGCAAAGTCGCGCATGCTGCAGACATGTGTGAACTCCGCAGAGTATAGAAATAGGTGAATCGCACGCAGTGGGGGAATATAGGGAGAGCGCTCTTCCCTACAAGGATGGATTGGCCGGCCGGCAACTCTGTTGAATGAATGAAGAAGTGATCTGCCTTTGCCTATTCCATTAGAGCTTATATGCACCAGCTTACTTCCCTATTGCTTTCCCAAGGATAAGTTAATGGCGATAATAAGCTTAGATAATGGGCGGATAATAACTCTCTGGGAATGGCCGTTTGTGGCGTTCTTTGCCTTTTCTCTGGGAACTTCCGTAACTTAGCACAATGTTTATAGCGACATTATTGTTCACGTGATTTCAGGATGAACCCAGCCTTACAATATTGAAAAAGTCATTGTCATTTTTAATTATGGGAACAGTTTATTCATCAATATCAGAAAATAAATCGATCCCCTCCTCGATTTATTGAGATATACCCAAAATTTAGCACCTCCTCTCGAATAATTACCCCTCCAACGAGAGGTCGGAACAGGGTAATTATTCGAGCACATTCGGTATATGTACCTGAATTTTTAAATTCTAGGTAAATAAATTTTAAAATTGTTTCTTTTTTAATAAATAAAATAATATTTGAAATTATGTTTAAATTATAAAAAATATTAAATTATTATTAGATTAATAATAATATTAAATTATTATTTAAATTTAATTAATTTAATTAAATTATGATTAATTAATTATGAGAAATTAATAAAATTATGATTGATTTTTGAGGAACTATGGTGATGGATTAAAATAAAAATTTAGGTTTAATTTTGAGGGGTTTGAATTCTAGTTTTAAAAAATACCTGATTTTTTGGCACAGAAATATATTTCTGTAAAACCAAATTGCTAGGTAATTCAATAATAAATTCAGCTTCAGAATACTTTTTAGTATTTTCCCCAATTTCCGCTTCATTAATTGAAATAAGTTTATTTGGAATATTATAAAAAATAAAATTATTATTTTCATTTTTTAAATGTCCTCCAACAATAATTTCTTTATTTTCAAAAATATATTTAAAAGAACAAATTAAATTTTGTTTATTTTTTAATTTTGTCAAATAATTAAATTGACGAGTTTGTAGGTAATCCTCATTAATTATTAATTCAATATCCATTGACCAACAAAAAGTAATTGTTAATAAAAATGGATATAGAATTAACATCTTAAATAAAAAATATTGGGTGAATAAAAATTTTAGAAAACAGGATAGATACTTTTCGCGCCATTTCAAATCCCATCTCTATTTTGGACAACTTACCGTATTTATTCTAATATAAAAACAGTCTCTATCAGGGATCGCGCCGACCCAATTCACGATTCCCGAAAATCGAGAATTTGATTTTTTGGGTAAATGTCCAGCCTTTGCGGACTGCATTTGGAAGGTAGAAAGCGAGCTGGACATTTAACGATTTTCTATCGGCGCGTTCCCTGAAACTTATTCAACTATTTACGTTTTAATTAAGTTTTCCTTGGAGCTTCAAGTCGAGAAAAAAAAATTACTATGTTAAAATTTTATTCCGATTCCAGCCAACTTTTCGTTTTAATACTGTTAAACCAGGGTTCCGATTCGTACTTTTTTAAAAGTATTGTAATTTTAAATCGACCTCCGTGCTTAGTTACGAAATTGAACTTGCACTTTTTTAAGTGCAAATTAAAAAAAGTTGTATCGGATCGTCAGTGCAACTATTTCGGTCACATTTCCTATTTCCTTTATTAAATTTATTTTTTAAAGATTCCAGTTTCAAATGCATTTATAGAACGCATCTTCTCAATGGCAAGTATTAATGGACGAAAGAAAGAAACTTGCTTGAGGTTAAGACTGTCAGCCTATTTACTTTTAAATCGAGATTTTCGTATTTTTGAATTGCCATTTTGTCGATCGGAACCCTGTGTTAAACAAATAGCCTGACCATCCAGATAGCCCAACCTGAAAAATCATTTTTTCAACAACAAAATTTCCTTGTGGAAAGTTTATGGGAAGCAGCGGAACTGGGAGGAGGAAAAAGGATGGGAATGATAAAATTCTGGAGAGTCAAGAGAATTTTAAACGTCATAGGTGTAAAAATATTTTGCTGATAAATTGCCAAGTAATTCTTGCGTTCGTACCCCCTTTTTTTCCTTAAAGTATTAAAAAATGGTCAGTCAGTCTTAGGTTATAAAACTCGTCGAGCTGTGTCGAATGACACCGAAATCAACCCCCGTTCTTAACTTCAGGCCGAGATACAGACCTCCGAAAATTGTAAAACAAAAGGGGGACCAAGTTCATTTTTTGGGCTAAAAATTCGATTAAAAAATAATAGCTCATCGAAAGAACTTCACGAGTTGGTTTGAATGACATCAAAATCAACGTAATTGAACAGGATTTGACAAAGTTATGACATAAAGTAATCATATTGTAGTCGATGAGTCGCTTTATGTAAAAAAACCTGCGCTTTGTGCAGGTTTTTTGTCTGTAACTCGGCCCAAAGTTATGACGGGGGTTGATTTCGGTGTCATTCGACACAGCTCGACGAGTTCTATTATCTAAGACTGACTGACCATTTTTTATTCTTTTAGGAAGGAAAAAAAGGGGGAAAGGGGTACGAACGCAAGAATTACCAATCGCCCTACGGGGACGGGCAACAACGAAAAACTGAAAAAGTTAGCTTTCAAAACAAAAAAAATATTAGAGAATTTATTCAAAATTTAATATTTATTTATTTAAAAACAAGAATAAATAAGTATGTATATAAATTTATTTTCTCCATCCTCGAGAATAAATCGAATTTTGCCCTTTATTTTAAATATTTTATAATAAACAAGCAATCACTAGACTTTAAATCAATTTATTATTTAATTTCCCTTTGATCCTTTGATCTTATGAGAGAGAGTGTGAGTGTGAGAGAGAGAGAGAGAGAGAATGTGAGTGTGAGAGAGAGAAAGGTCTACGACATTCGAAAATATGACAATTGTAAACAGAATTTGAGGGTTTAATTTAATTAATTAATAAAATAGTTTTTTCTACTTGGCCAATGTAGTTGACTCATCTTCTTGTAAAGCTAAATCAGATAGTATTAGTGGTTGTGTTTAGGCCAAATATGGGCCTGTCCACTTAGTAGACCAATCCAAAAGACTACTTATCTGCTTAATCAGCACTTGAATTTACATTGATATTTAAATACTTTTAAATTAATTGCCCTCCAGTTTTTCTAAAATTTGAGAGCAGACAATCATCAACTAACTCAATAAATGTTCTCAATACAGCATCCTATTATTATCTCTCTAGTGCAAAACGGTCCTGTTGTTGAATAGGTTGTCACCGCTTTTCGATCGGGCGACCGTAGCGAAGCGGCGGCCGTCGTTCCTCTCGACATACCCGGCTTCCTCCGCAGCGGCAAAAACTTTTTTCTGCGAAGGGAATCTCACTCGAAAGAGCTCGGTTAGCAGAGTCGACTGACATCAAAATCAGCTCGATCGGATGATTATGAATAAAGTTATAGTTGCTCACGCTGAAAACATGATGCGCCGAAAAAATGGCGCCCAAACGTGGTGCTCCGTGTGCTACCATCTTTTCAGCACTCTACTGGCTGCTCTAAGAGCCCAAACTGTGTACAAACGGCGCAACGCCTTAACTTGCTTCACGATTTCGGAATCTTACCGAAATTAAAGGATTCCCCTCATCAAGCTAAAGAGATTGGTAACAAAATTGATAAGGAAAATTTGATAATTTCCAGCTAAATTTTCCACCTTTTGCCCAAACTTTGCTAATATTTTCTTCCGAATTTATTTAAAGATTAATTTCAGACACCTTCGTTTTAAATTATTTTTTACCAGAAATGAGTCTTTCAATTCTTCCTAACATTTCTTCAGATCCTTTAAACTTGCTCAACGTTGATCAAAAAACTAATTTACTTTCAGAGCCAGGTTTTTATTTAAATAATAAATCGTTTTTGTTCATTCAACCTTTTTCGATAACGGATACCAGATTTTTTTTTAATTTTGCATCCCTCTCCCACTTTCTTCCTTTAAAATGCCCTTTTTAAGTCAGATTTTCGTCCTCCCTCAAGTTCACTTTTTCTCTCCAGTATTTATTGAGTCATAGGAATTAGTAATTTAATCTATAAAAAATAAGAGAAAAACTACAGTAATACCCCCTCCGTACCCCCCCCCCCTTTTCCTTCCTCAAAGTATTAAAGAATGGTCAGTCAGACTTAGTTTAGAGAACTCGTCGAGCTGTGTCGAATGACACTAAAATCACCCCCCGGTCTTAACTTTGGGCCGGGGTAGTCCTCTCGACGATTTTACTAACCTAAGACTGACTGAACATTTTTTAATACTTTGAGGAAGGAAAAAGGAGGGAGGGGGGGGGGGGGGTACGAATGCAAAAATTATAAAATTTAAGTTCGTGTTGCCGAATTTTCTTTGGATAACAATCGTCGTCCTGTACTCGGCCGTTCTAAAGCTCGTTATTTTTATGAAGCCGTTGTAGCCAAGGGGAGAAAAATGCCAATTAAAGCAAAATTGTCTGATGGTTACAACCAAGATATAATTAAAGAAAGGGAGGATGACGGACTTATTTTTTTGACTCGTTGGATTTCTTCTTTGGCGCCTCCAAAAAGTGTTTTAAAAGAGATAATTCATGACTGCGATTTTGTTATTTGCCGTGGAACTCTTTTACGTTTGATGACTTCCTGTTATGATTCAATTCCCCATTCTGTGGGTATGAAACTTGTTTGCTGCAAAATGAAAGGTTTTTTGTTTTTAATTTTAAATGTCTCCTTTGTCTTAGGGAACTAAAAATTGCCTTTTTTTTAGAATTTTGGGAAAATTAATAATTGATAGAGGGTTAGGGTTGCCGTTTTCAATTCGGGCCGTCGTTCGAGTCTTTTTTTCGGGCCAGACCTGTCAAGTCTTTTTCGGTCCAAAAATCGAAGCCCGATTCGATCTTCGGACCGGACAGGAAACCCCATATAGAGGGTAGAAGCAATTTATTCAAATCTTTCCTCGGTCTATTTCTAAATTTTTTGTTTTTTAAAGGGTTGGGGTTTAGGTTGACGTCGTTCGAAGCGGGCCGTCGTTCGAGTCATTTTTTCGAGCCGTACCGGTCGTCTTTTTCGGGCCAAAATTTAGGACAGATCGATCTTTCGAAAAATAATTTATTCAAATTTTTTCTTAAAGTCTAGGGGGTGGGGGTAATCGAAAATAGAGCAATTAAAAGTTTTTTGATTTCCTTTTTCCCTTAATTATAAATTTAGGTGTTTATTTCATTCGTGAATACTACACTCCAACTAGAATTGAAAAAGAAGTAAATATGATTGATAGACATAATCGAATGTGTTATGAAGCGCACAAATTTAAACAACTAGTTACAACAAAAGGACAGGGAAAAAGGCCCGATTTTAAGGAGACTGTTTGTGTTAAACCCGATTTTATTGGAGTTTTTAAAGGTTTGGAAATTTTATTCTTGTTGGGGTTTCCTTTCTATTTTCGTATTTTTAGGTAAATATTTGAAAAATCCAGGATCTTGGACAAGTAAATTTTATTATGTCGAGTCACACCCCCCTAGAAAGTAACACAGGGGGTTGTTAGATAACACAGGGGGTGTTTATTTTGTTTCACACCCCCCTAGAAGTAAATTTTATTATGTCGAGTCACATTCCCTTCCCTAGTAAACTACAAAAATTTGGGGTTTTACTGAAAACTTCTTTTGACCCTCCATTTTTTCTTCCTTTTTTCTCAGTCTGCTTCTGTACTGAAAGGTCAGATTTTCTTTCTTTCCCAAATTCGCTACATTTCCCATGAGATTTTTAGGATTGCCAATTTCGTCAATAAAAAAATAATCTGTTTCTCTCAAAAAAAATTTTTCTTTGTTAATGTTGCCAAATGTGGTGAATTTGAGAAAGAAAGAAAATCTGACAATTCTGTACATAAGTAGACTGAGAAAAAAGAATCGAAAAATGGAAGCCTGTAAAGGAAAGTACATACCCTTATTTATTCAGACTTGAGCTGATCTCTAATAGGTTTGCTCGATTTCTTTTTCAATATTTTGAAAACATTTTTGCCTTTTCTAAAAATTTTTTTCTGATATTAAAAAGCCTAAACCCATTTATTTTATTAAGCAAAATTTTTAAAAAACCCCTTTCTCATTTTATTTTTTCAACTAATTTCAGCTACAATTAATGCTCCATCTCAAAAGGATCCTTCCTCCAATTTTCGAATATTTTATGGAGCAGAAATTGATTGTATAGTTCCCTCGAGTGGACAATATTTGGGGCTCAAAACACAATATAAAATGCTTGGATTTGGGCAGGGATTTACTGATAAGGGTTTTTTGACCTTATCCCAAAAGAAGGGAGGAATCGTTTTTTCATTACCTGCAAGGAAAGGAAAAATGCCCTTTCCACCTTCGCCTTCATTGTACATATTTCTACACCGGATAAATTGTTATTCTAGTGCACGTTAACATCAACTAAATCTCGAACACCTCCGGTCGTAACAAATATATGTAACAAATATAAATGCAGACGGACGTACTTGGACAGACAAAACACGGACGGCTATCAATTTCTAAAAAAGATTTCCGTCCGTGTGTTATCTGTTCGAGTCCGTCTCCATTTTTCCTTTCCTTGCAGGTAATGAAAAAAAACGATTCCGCCCTTCTTTTGGGATAGGGTCTTTTTTTTAAATTTTTGGTAATCTTCAAAAAAAATTTCCGTTTAGTCTTAAGATGGTGGGTCCAAGCTTATTTGGCTGGAATTCGAAAATTGGCTATTGGAATTCATGAAAATGGTTTTTTTTGAAATTTTTTTAAATTTCAATTTAATTTTTAGGTCGATTAAATCAAGTTGAATACCTCGAAATGAGTTCTTTGGCTAATCATTTGTCCATGTCTGGTGTCAATGTGGCTTGCTGCTTTGTTTTTCTGTATAAATTTCTTGAGGCAGTCAAAAAGTATATTTTTTGTATTTTTTGGGGTAAATTCGATTTTTTTGGTTATTTCCCCAATTATTTTTATTTTTTTACCTGAGGAGTTTTTTTGTATTTAGTTTAAGCATTGGTTAGAATTTTAAATTCTCCTCATTTTCAATTTATTTTCTGTTAAGCCACTTTGTTTTTTGAAAAAAGGATAATCATAGGGGATAGCAAGGGCGTAGCCAAGAGGTCGATTTCAGGTGGATAAAATGGGGGTGTGCGCCAAAAATTTTTTTGTTTTACTTTGACGTTCCGAACGCGCATTTTATTGTCATATATTTTTATTTTTTCAGCGCCGCAGCGAAAATTTTGAGAATTTTGTGTGTTGTAGGCGTAAAAAATTCACTTTTCTGATCATTTCCCTCCTAACATTTTTTCACTTTCCCCATTTCATGAGTGGGGGTATAGCCCAGAAGCACCCCTGGCTACGTCCTTGGGGGATAGCTTTATGTTCTCTTACATTATTTTAAAAATTACTTTTGTTGTCAAAAAATGAATTTTTTTTCAGATATTTGGATATGGCACCTGAGGGAGTTATTCTCTTATCTGAACGTTTACCTACCTCAACTGAATTCAATTTTAAATTGTTTGATCCAGGCAGTGCAGAAGCGGCAATTTATGAGGTTATAAGTAATGAATTTAAGTCTCATGGTTGGCTTTAAGAATTTAAACAAAAAATTTAAATTGACAAAAACTATCAGCATTTTTCATTCATACCTGTTTAACATGGCCTTTTTGTGATATACCTAATTAAAAATTGGACATTAAATTAAAATGTTTTAATTTTTACGAATTTATTTATTTATATGTAGGGAACGGATTTATAAGGACTATCAACCGAAAAATATGGATCAATTTATGGCAAAATTTGACAAAAAATGTCAAAATATAGATTGATAACTCAAAAACGGCTTATCAACATATACTAAAACTATGTTTTTTGGACGTTTTAGAACCCAACTAGGCCAGGAAAAAAATATAGGAAATCCATAAAAATCCGTTCCCTATTTATAACGAGAGGAGCTTATTCAAACATTATTTGTCCAATTTTTAAATTCAACTGGGATTCTTGGCAACCGGTTAATTATTACCTGGGGAGGTTTAAACGCTCTTATTATTCCCCCTTTAAACCGCCATAGGCTGGAATTAACCGGTCGCCAAGAACCCGGACTTTAACATCTATTATACATTTTTTGCTCAATTATTACTTTTTTTTAAAGTACCGTGGCTTTTAATTAGTGACTTTTTTACTTAAATTATTTTCCTGATCATTTATCAATTTTATTTTTTTTCGGGTGAATAAATACATATAATCTCTTGTAATTTTTCAATGATAATTATTTTTTAAACATTTAAATAACTTTTTTACAAAAATATTTTTATTATCTGATCAACTACAATTTAATCCTTTTTCGTCCATTTGTCTAGAAAATTTCAGCATTTAATTTACTTATTATGATCACAAATGGAAGCATGGATGTTTTAAGTAATTTTATAAATGTTGACAATAATGGAAGTAGTGGATAGTTGAATTTTGAATTAGAAGATTTTGAACTTTAGAAGAAATTATTAATGAGGTTGTTTAATACATATTTTATTTTTTGATAAGTTATTTGGTTTTAAACTCGTCAAAATTCGAAATAAATTTTATACCTTAAAGAATTTATTTATAGTTTTTATAAATCTTGATCAAATTTTTTCACTTTTCTTTTTTTAGAAAATGCTTGGTCTCTATAGATGATTCTAGTATGCCAAAAATTCTTCCAATGGTGAGATATGGATCTGTGCATGCACAAGTACTAAAAATTATGAGATTTCTTCCTCTTGATTTTAAGAAGCGAAGGTTCTTTTGTTTTTGTTATAATAATTTTTATATGAATTTTTGTAATTTGAAATTCCAAAATAATTTTTTGAACGTACTAACTCTAAAATTCTTTCATTTTCTAGATTCAATTTTACAACAAATAAACATGTGAACTGATCGGCTTAAAACTTGCAAAATAAGAATGTGACGAAATATTTTTCAAATTAAAATAAAAATTTAGAAATGGGTTAGATTATTTTTTATTCATTTTGAAACGTTCTCATTGTTTCTATTGCTTATATTTTTGATTCTGGCAGAATTCGAAAAGGAATTAGTAAAAAAAAAGGAATTACTTTGAAATTGTTTTAAAAAATTAGCGAACCATTTACTGACCCTCCATCCGAATACCACCGCCAGATACTACACCCACCATGGCAAGCCGGTGATCATCTAGCATCCTCCTCGGTCACCAGGACATTGCCCATAGCGCTAGTTGCACTTGGTTTGGGAGGACCATATGGGAGTTGGCTCAATAGACAACTGAAGAAATCCTTTTTACCATATGTTGATCACTCATACCCAACGGGAAACGGCGGTCAATAGTTCGCTTTCGTTTTATCTTTCCTATCGCTTATATACAAACCTAGTTTATTTTATTTGCAGTTTTCTATGGGAAGTATATAAGTAGATATTACGTGAAAAGCAGAGAAGAATAAATGAGAGTTTATTTTGAAAGCTTTTTTCATTTTGTCTTTTATTCTTCTTTGCATTCCTTCTATTTAGTATTTTTTAATTTCCTTTTTTAAAAAGTCTAGTTTCAGCATCTATTTCAACTTTATATGTAAACCCTTTATTGGACATATCAGAAAGTGTCAAATTAGTTTACAATAGTCAGAAGACTTGCAAATGGATATAATATTAACAAAATTAGGATTTTTAAAGAACAACAATGTTCTCCATTAAAAAATTTTCAGGACATGGTAGCTGTGGCGAGTTCTATTTGTTATCATTCTTTCATTAGAAGCTATGGCGAAAGGAAGAAATCTCCGAGAAGTCTGACTTCTCTGGCCTAAAATTTGAAAATTTTCGCCTGAGGCGCTAGAAGGGCAAGCCATACTTTGAATTAAAGAGCGGCTTTTAAAAGTTGTTTCAAAGATACGTGTGATACGGAATTAAATAAATAAATATTAAATTAATTAATATTAAATTTTAATAAAATATTAAATTGATTTTTCTTATTTACAATTGTCGGTCAGTCTCTCGATCGATGCATAAATTGAGGAGATGAATAATTGAATTTAAATGTTAGCATTTGTCTAACGATGTGTTTACATAATAAGAGTCTTGCGTTTTGCGACAAAAATAGCACTGGGAATGAAGAGACGCGATTTTGTCTCTACTCCTTTTGAGTACTATTTCTTGCCGCAAAACGCAAGACGCTTTTTATGTAAACATAGCATAAATAAGGGAAATAGCTTTTCTCTCGGGTGCGATAACAGGCTAATGCCGTGCTTATATTAAAAGCGTCTTGCGTTTTACGGAAGAAGATAGCATTGAAAATAAAGAGACGCGATTTTGTCTCTCCTTCTTTCCAATATTTTCTTCCACAAAACGCAAGACGCTTTTTATGTAAGCTAGGCATTAGTAGCTACTATAGTTACTACTATAGTAGTAATGCTGTGGAGAGGTACGAAATTTGCATAGAGCTAAATCGAAATTTCGAGCTCATTTTAAAGCATATGTACATCAATGGAAAAATGCACTTAATTTTTTGGGTTGTTTATTTAAGCCAATTACTTTACCTAGTTTGTATTCATTTTTGTTTATTTACATCCATTTTTAATAAAAAATTTAAATATAGTCATGGACAAAAATATAGGAAGGAGCAAGAATAAGTTAAGTAAATATTACCTGTTTTTTCAGTTAGAAATAGGATGCCGTATTTGCTAAAATAATTATCCATGGTAATTATTTGAGCCTTTTTCAGAAAGGCTAATTATAACTATTTTAAGAGGGTAATTCTTTTTCGATATCTGGCTGTAGGGGGTAATTAATAGGGCGGGGGGTAATTATTTGAGAGAGGGACATTATTTCAGCATTTACGGTATCTTATAGGAATTAATTGGGATTTAAAGGGATATAGAAGCTATCACAAATGATATTCCTCTTAATCCCCAAATATCAGTGGATTTGACGGATAGAAGTGGGTTTGTGTTATATTATTAGATTTTGAACAGATATCGGAGGATTAAAGTGGATATCTGTCGATTTAAAGGGATTAAGGTGGATATCGGCAGTTTTGGAGGTTTCTTAGTTTTGAAAATTATTTTTTTTATAATTTTTAGTATTTTATTTCTTTTATTTCGCCACCGTACTCATTGGAGCTGAATCCGATGAGCTAACCCTTTTGGTAATTTTGAGGCAAGTGTCTATGTTTAGCAACCCAAAAGTGCGGGTCTGACTATGCGGTTCTGACTCGTTCGGGAATGGAAGAAAAGCTCACCAGAGTTGGTGCGAACAGCTGCCAAAAAATTTTTTCATGCGTCTTTTATTCTCTATCAAAGCATAGGGTGGGTACTTCAAAAAAATTCTTGATGATTCTTGTTCCTTTTAGTTCTCTCTCATATGAGCTTTATTTGATCTCATTATCTTTAGTTTAAATAAGGTTATGGCATAATAGTCAAAAAAGCTAGGTTAGTTGATATTTTTAAATAATTATTGTTTTTTACCGTTTACTAATTTGTAGTTGTTAGTTTATCTTGAGTAGCGGTGCTTTGTATTCTTGCGTGTATTAATAACTGCCCAATTCACCACTGCCTAACTCACACGGCACCCTACTAATAATTTACTAAACAAAATCTTTAGTCTAAAAGCAATTTTGTTTAGAAAAAGAAAATGAAAATATGAAAATTACAAAAGCTTTACTGCTTTGTTGTATTATAACCCCAATTATTTGTCCTCCTCGTAAAAGAGGAAAGGCAGTTAGACGCCCTCACCAACAACAAGAAGACCCAAATGAAGAAGGACAAATGCCAGATATTTTTGGATATCGAGATGTTGAAGGAAGCACTGGAACAGGGACTGGAACAGGCGAACATGACGTTGCTAGTTCAAATTTTCCTAGCTCTCAGGGTGAAGTTAATTTTAATATTCCTCAAAATCTTCAAGGGTTGGAAACTAGATTTGGAAGTAATCCATTCTTTTCTCAACAACAAATGCCTCAACAAAATTTTGACCCTTATGGTGGACAACATTTTAAAGTCGAAGAAGCTAAAAAGAAAAATTATTATGGAAAAGATTGTAATTAAATAATCAAACAAATGGATTGGGATCATTAGGGCGCCGCCACTAGGGTCGTTTTCGAGCCACAGTGAAAATTTAATTGTTCCCGTTCTCGGAACAACTTCACCCGTTTCGAAACAACTTGGAACACTTCCTCCGTTGACGGACCAATTTCACAAGTTCTGTTTAAGACGGGGAAAGTTGGGTTCGGAACCTAGTGTTCGGAACAACTTCCCCAGTGTTCTGAACTCCATATCTGGAGTCGTCCTAAGTCGTCCTAATGGCCGCGCCTAATGTCCCATTCGGAAATAAAATCTTTAATTAAAATTATTTTAAAAATTAGGCCATCAATGGATTGAGCGTCTAGATCCAGGCAAAGAAAGATATGAAATAGTTAAAGTTTACAAGGATGGTTATGATATATATTGCAAAATATGCGATAAAATCATTGTATGTATCCCGTATTTTTCTTATTGAGTGGCTTTCAATAGAGTGACTCTTTGAGGGGGTTGAAAAATTGGGTAGACAAAATAGGGTAACGTCTAATTGGCGCAGCCGAATAGGCGCGGAGACAAATAAGCGCGGGACTTTGGCTCTTGTCCAGTTTATGCGTCCCATGGAGATTTATGCGTCCCATGACGGTTTATGCGTCCCATAAAAATTTTATGCGTCCCATGAAATGAATTGAAAAAATTTGAAAAAATATTAGAAAATTAAAAAATAACATTTAATTTTTACATATGTATTATGTGTTTATGAAATATTAATCCATCAAAATTTATACTCATTAAATAGAGAATTAAACGGAGTATCTAATCAAATAAATTATTTTATCATATAATGAATTTTTAATTGAGAAAATGGTTAAGTTTTACTTCAGGTGCTCTTGCCCCTATCTTTATGTCGATGACTGTATGTGTAAAGACTTGCTCAAGGGCCAACAGAGCAAAATATGAAATTATAATTCGGTTTTAGTATTCAACAGGCATTTGGATCAATTTCTTTTCCCATCTATGTTAAATATTAAAACAGGACTTCAATTTGGCCATGTTTTTCTTGCAAAATTAGTTTTCTTGCAAAATACCACGTAAACCTATGGGTGCAAAACTCCTCGCTTCGCGCGGAGTTTTGCCGCACGCGCCTCGTTGGGTGTCAAAGGTCGCTGGATTCTGGGTAAGTAACATAAACCTATTCATATCTGCTTTGCTCTGGACGTACCTGTAGCCTTCGTATATTTTTTCAATTCATTTCATGGGACGCATAAATTCTCATGGGACGCATAAATCGTCATGGGACGCATAAAATTTTTAAGGGACGCATAAAATGTCATGGGACGCATAAATCTCCACGGGACGCATAAATCTCCATGGGACGCATAAACTGGACAAGAGCCGACTTTTTTTAGGTCTCTATAGATTTAAAATTCTGTCCTACAATATCATAGATGGTATTTCCTAAAAACGAATGTCAAATAATCCATTCTGTATTAAACACTTAGATTTATCTTAGCCGGTAGCAGGTTCCAAAATCACGATTTATATATCGAATGGCAGCCTTTGCCTATTTTAAGTTGCTGTGTTGTAGGAGAGTAATTTTTTAAATATTAGAGATTTATTAAAAATATTAAAGAAGCTAATTGATGGGCGCAAACTTATCGCACATAACGAATCACATGACAGATTGATAATGAATGAGCAAATGAGTGATCATAGATACGGTAAAATAATTTCAAAAACTTTAAATGTTTCCCATTATTTTTAAAAAATTCAAATTTTTATTAACGTTTTAAGATATTTTGCTAATTTCTCTTAATCTATTTATATTATAAAAAATTAAATAAATTTACAGATCTTGAAGAAGTAACTAATCGCTTAGAAAAATTGAAAAAGCAATTAGGA